AACTTCTTCCTAATCTAGTACCTGTTGTGTTGCTGCTACCGGATTCATATCTCGAGCTATCTTTTAGGGTACTGCCGTAACCTGTTCCGTATCTCAAACTACAACCTTTCTATTTTGGTAGTTGTTACGTATTTCTGCCCTTGTTTTGGGTTCACACAACCCCAGCACCCACACTCGAACTTTTCTTTTTTCCCAGATTCTTTATCGGTTTCTCTCTTACTTCCAGCTGGCAACCCAAAAGGGTTAGTTCACCTAGACTTTAGGAGTCTATATAGTCTTCCTTCCCTTGGTATATGCTTCCAGAGCACATGTCCTTTTCCTCCAGTTTGGCGACTCGGCGGTTTAGCTGGTATGTCCCCCTACTTAAGGACCTGGTCGCTTGGTTCTCTGATTTCAGTCTCCGGTTCCAAATTCGGTCTTCCTGTAGTACTGTCAAAGATCATACTAGCTCCCAACTCGGGACTTGCCAAATGGGTTTTTGGTTCTTCCGGTATCTTAGATTTATTACACCAAAGCTCCCATTCTAGATAGTGTGACCGAGATTACAGATTTCTAGATCTTACTGATCGTTGAATAGCCATTAACCGTATCACAGGGCTATTTTTCGAAAATGTCATCCATGAGATTCGAATTCTAGACCTGCCATCTGGGGGTGCGACAACTTCACCACTTTACTAAGTCGCTACACCCTATAGACAAGCTTAATGAAAAAATAAAAATACTTATTTTATATAAAAATAGTAATGATAATATAGATTTAAAGAACTATAACCTCACTATAGATATAGCATAACAACCAGGATCGCTTAGATTATCTTTGTCAGAAAACCAAGCTATGATCCAGAATAATAGGATTTAGCAAAAGATTAATAATATTAGATGGTATTTTCAAAGCCCAATCATGATAATATCTACAATTAATAGTATTGTAGATTATCTTAATATAATTTCTGATGCTAGGGATAGGTTTGAAAGATTAATACTAGATATATATCTGCAGGCAAATACTCATGCAATTTATACAGAAAATCAAGTAGCAGATTTGCAGACCCAGTTAACTAATTCACAAATCTAGTTAGCTACACTTCAAAATAACTACGATCTTCTACATCAGGCCTATGAAGCTCACAGAACACAACACAATATATTTAAATCTCGAGAACTTGATAGTTGAATTACAATCTATATACAAAAAAGACAAATATCAAAATTGCTTCTAGAAAAATTTGCATTGGGATTTAAGAATAGATGAACATAATAGCAACTACAAGAATATAAAACAGATAAAGCAATTACTACACACCTCTTAAATCTTACAAAAAATCGATATATGAAATGGAAAAATAAATACAAGACTCTAGAAAATGATCTATTATTTGCCAATATTCAACTAGACAACAAGTAGGGTAAGTGGAAAACTTAGGCACAAAATTCTGAGCAATTAATTTTAAATTTAAATCAACAAATTTTTATACTACAGAATAATTTACCTATAAATATACAAGCAAATATGGCATTACAACCACTTCTACTACCAAATTTTTCAGGTAAATATGATGAGGATATTGATATTTTTATTAGTCGATTATTGTTATATTTAGCTGGCACTAGTATAGACCCAGTTGCTAATTAGGATCAAGTATTTGGTATTCTTAGAAGGTGTCTATATGGGCGAGTATTAGAATGGTTTGATCTAAAAATTCTTGGTAAATAATGGGAACTTCATAATATTTTTGCAAATCATAGCCAGGCTAGTATAGGTACTTTTCGGGGATGCACTATAACACAGATAAATACTAGTAATAGCTTTAGAAATCCTTCAATTGCCCATAATTATACAAATACTGCTGTAATAATGCAGTAACTATAGGTGTTTCCATGATTCTAGCTAAAGCTTTTACTGAAGATTGGCACTTAGCTGGAAGATGTTTATCGGATAGACTTGCCAATGCTGTTAATGCAGGTAATACTAATCCTATAGTATTTGGTGATATTTGGATTGGTTAAGTATTATATTGGCTTAAAAATGAATATCCTATAGTAATAAGTAAAAAGCACAATTTAGTTTATAGATCATTAGCTCAGGAGGGTGAACCTATAGGAGACTTTTATTCAAAACTCTTAAAATATAGAAAAATGCTTAATTTTGATGAGCAACAGATTAAGAGACAATTTCTAAGAGGTTTGTCTCCAGACTTGGAGGATGATGCAGAACGCATTGGTACTGAGCAACTATTAGCTAATCTTTTTGAAATTTTAGAGCAAATTGAAATGCAAAGAGCAGGGAAAAAATTAGGATTAGTTAGTAAAATACCCCAGTCTAGTTATAAATTGTTATTTAAATTAATAACACCTATACAATCCCAATTTGTTTCTTCACAATCAGCTTCTCAGCAAATACAGCTATCACAACCATTGCAGATACCTCAACCTTATTATGGACTACAACCTTCTGGCATATATCAAAAAATACAAGATATATTAATGAATAGATTTGTACAATGGATTACTGGGGAGGTTTCAGAATTTGTTCCTATCTCCAAGTCTGATTTGCCTCCAAAACCAGTAATAAAGAAAGTTGAAGTTGAATTCGATGATGAATTGGCCAATCTTACGAAGAAGCAGTTGAAGTTGCACATAGCTAAGGCTGTTAAAAAAGCTACGAAAGCACAATACCATTGCTCAAACTGTAATAAGACTGGGCATAATTTTCATAAGTGTCCTTAGAAAAAGAAAAGTAGATCCAAAAATAAAAAAAGTAATGTCTATAAGATTATTGTAGATTCAAGCTCTAAATCAGATTCAGATACTAACTCTTCTGATAATAATTCTGATTTTGGCTCCGAATCAGGATCCAATTTTGAAGAATCCTCAGCCAAATCAGAATCTGAAAGTGATATTAAGGTTCATATTAGCAAGATAAAAAAAGGTAAAATATAAGAACAACTCTACAAAATTGCTATCTGGAAATAAACTCAAGCAATCCAAAATCAAAAAAGAGAAAGCAAAGCTTTAAGCTAGAAACCTATTCAAGCCTTGCAAAGAGGACCAGAAAAAGATTTCCAATTCTAGTAAGTTATGAAATAAATCTACTATTATTAATAAATCTCTTTAAAGAGTTGTATTAGATATGCTTGATAGTATTGCATCTATAGATTGAATAGAAAAACTCAAAGCTAAGATTAACACCAATATGCCAGTTCATGCTAAGAGTTTACTCACTTTAGCTCTATCTATTCAAAAATCTGATTTTAGTAAAACTATCTCTGCTAAAAATTATAGAGAACCAGCTCCAGAAATACCTAATTCAGATGATGAGTTTATTTATGATCTTATGGAAATAGATTTTGTTCAAAAAAAAGATCTGGCTACAGATTTTGTAACTACAAAATGCAAGATCAAGTGACTAGTAATTCCAGCAACCACTGTAAATTCTGGTGCTAATTTTGCAATTATATCTAAAGATATAGCCAAATGATTAAAGTTGATAATTAATACAAAAGATAAACATGATCTTAGAGATATTGCTACTATTCCTACTGAACCTCTTAGAACCACCTGAAATGTACCAGTGGACTTTACTTTCGGTTGTATTATATACTTTGATTTTGCAGTAGTTAAATACCCCAAGCCGATGTTGATTTTATCTAATATGTTACTTGACAAATATAACTATGATTTACTTGTATCGAGACAGAAATTGAAACTTGTATGCAATGGTAAGAAGTTCTTTATCCCGATAAATATGCACAAAGTTGAGAATAATCTCGAAGTGAACTGCACAACTGTATCTTAGAATAATATATTTCTGGTATCCGATCAAATTTCACTGGAGAAATGGTATGCTCTCGCAGATTTTAATATAGATTCTGATGATTTGACTTTTAAAAAAAAAACACATGAGCTATAAAGAGTTAGAAAAATTGCTATATGAGGTACTCAAATCTAATACTAAATTAATCAAGCTTAATAAAAAACTACAGGCTTATAACAAATCTAATATTGAAATAGTATGTAGACTCAAAGAGCCATTGCTTTGCAATAGATTGCAAACTACTTTAGAAAAAACAAAAATAGATTAGTTAGAATCTAAGACCCTTTTCGTCTCACATTTAGCTTCTTCTCTTTCTTTACGATTTTGTGCAAGCTTAACTTATAAGTCATCCATTTCATCTACTTTTTTTATCAGAATATTAGTTATACCAACCTTATTAGCTAAAAAGCTAGCCTTCATACCGGATCCTGATTTTTTTTTCTTTGACTTCTTATTCAAAGTATTATTTTCAGACATTATTTTAGAAGAAACAACACTATGTATTAGTTGCTGTTTGCACAAGGGTATTCCTTCAGTATGTCTTTTTCAAATTTCATATACAGTCAAACCTCTCTATAGTCACCTCCTATATAAGCACATTTTCTTTATAAGCTTGTTTTTTAAAAAACCATCCATTATTAAATATAATAAATTTGACCTCTATAATTAGCACACTTCTCTATAATCACGCTTTTTTGTATCCCGTGGGTGTGACTATAGAGAGGTTTGACTGTATTCTAACTAAATGGGTGATAAATGCAGAAATGACGATCAGTGTTGATATTTGCACAAAATTAATAATGGGATGTGCAAATTGTACAAAAAATAGAATAACATTCATGTACGTACGTATAAAAAAGTTTTTTGCACAGCACACTGCTAATAGTACGGGCCGATGCTAAAACTCTGGGCCGACCTTGATTAAGGAAATTCAATTTTCAGTTTCAATTTATATTTGACTTTTCTTTTCGAATATATTAAATGAAAGAAAATTGCATGGAATAAAGATCCCGATCGAATAAAAGAAAAAATGAATAATAATTGATTAAATATATTATCGGTAAATATTAGATAAATAAGTTGTTTTTTTTTTTTTTAAAAAAAAAAAAGTATCTTTGCCATGAAAATCGATATGGGACATTAGTGTTGGCAGGCGAAACTAAGAGGTTTCGCCACAGACAAATGGCGAAACCTAGTTTCGACTTTCGGCAAAAAAAAATTAAAATGGCGAAATGGCGAAAGGTGGCGAATCTGGCGAAACTGTTAAAGGTGGCGAAACTGAAAAAAGTAGCAAAACTAGTGAAAGACAGTAAAATTAACAAAAAAGCAAGAATAACAAGGTAATTAAAGATAATTAAATCTTTTTTTATAATTATTATATATATAATTAGGTATCACATAGCGCGAAACTCTTATTTATCGTGTATCAATTTGATTGGCCAATTTTGTCATAAAAAAATAAAAATTTAAGACTTTTTCATATTTTTACAATAATATTATAA